CCAAAGCCCGTGTCCACAAAATCTGTATGGAGGAAATTCCATAAGCAAAACATTCACGGGCGAGATGCACTTGCCAAACCACTAATGACCGATATTAATACTCAAAAGAGGAGAGAGTGGTACATAACCGACCTGATACCCAAATACTACCCTACCCGTGCCCTCCGCTCCTCACAGGACCTCCTACTCTCTAGCTCCCTGGTCTGCTCCTCCCACGCCCGATTGCAGGACTTCTCTAGGACTTCCCCCATCCTCTGGAACTCCCTACCCCAATCCATCAGACTGTCACCTACCCTCCTCACCTTCAGGCACACCCTGAAAACCCTCCTCTTCAGGGAAGCCTACCCCAACCTCACCTAACACCTGACCTCACCTAACAACTAACTTCCTCCACTCCTCCCACCACTCCATCCCCCACAGCTATTTCCTCCTGTGCCACCTTTCCCTCCCTTCTAGATTGTAAGCTCGAAAGAGCAGGGCCCTCGAACCCCTCATGTATTGTACTGTTACTGTCTTGTCTCATGTTCTGTCCCCCCTGCTACTGTACAGCGCTGTGCATACCCTTCTATTTGAATCTTTTTTTTTCACCAGGTGATCCAGCCAGTTCCACACTTCCTGTCCTTTGGTGACAACCCTCACTCATTGTACTCTATCTCTGAAAAGGAGAGTGTTGTCACTCGAGGACAAGACGTTTGTTAAGACTTCAGAACATGTCTCCCTTGCTTCATCTCTATGAGATAGGTGGTGGTGATTTGTAGTTCACAGAGGTAAGCTGGGCAGGGCTGATATCACTGCTTGAGATTTCAGTGCAGAACAGACAGAGCATTGGAAGTTATACGCTTGAAGAATTTCTGGCAAGATCAACAAGTATTTTATTACACTTATCGAACAGATATAAGAAAATGCTTTGCCATATTTAACAGAGGGAAAGGGAGCAAACAGAAGACGCATGCGGTTGGGGTTTACATAGACTTTGCAGTTCTTCTAAATCAGGTTAAATTTAACGTTTGTTTTAGAGCTTCCTCATAGTGACAAATGAAGAAGTTTTGTATAAAACTGCTGAGGCTGACATCAGGTGTTCCCCAAATAGTGCTTGAAAAGGAGAACTGAAGTGACAACGCAAATTACCAGTAAACTTGCAGGGGTTGTGCACTTTGATTTTATTCTATTTATGATTTTCTTTGTTCTTAACTCCGGGAATTCAGAAAAATATATCTACGGCAACATTTTTATCTTCTGCAATATTTGTAAAAACACCTCTGCCATTCTAAAAAGACAGGAGGGTGACCTCTGTTCTCGCTATTACAGATAAGCAATACAGGTTGATCACATCCACGCCCCACCCTGCTGATTGGACAGTGAGGGACAGAAGCACACGGCTCACCTCCAGTGCCTGAAAACATGTTGGACTGACAGCACCAGGGGCGGACTGACCATTCAAGCACTCGGGCACTGCCCAAGGGCCCGGGTCAGTAGGGGGCCCCATAGATGCCCCTGGTACCTTTCATTGGCTTTTTCATAGGCTTTTTTGGGTGTAGGCGAGGACACAGGGGCCCCATGATCTCCTATTGCCCGGGGGCCCCATGAATTGTCAGTCCGCCCCTGGACAGCACCATGTAATGTGATAGGCCCCACTTCTCTCACTCTGATTTCTACTGTGCAGAAGCTGCTCCGAAGCTAATATAAAGACAGTTTCTGGGTACTTATACCAACTGTATTTAAAAATAAGTTTTAAATTGTTGAACGAATACTTAGATTTATTTTTTATATTTTTCTAGAATTTAGCAGTAAAGACCTCCTTCTGTAAGGCAGATGTGCTAGGGTAGATGTCATCAGGCAGCACAGTGGCTAAATGGTTAGCCCTTCCACCTGGCAGCACTAGGGTCACTGGTTCTAATCCCAACCAAAGCACCACCTGCCTGGATTTTGCATGTTCTCCCTGTGCCTGTGTGGATTTCCTCCAGTTACTCTGGGTTCCTCCCACACTCTAAAGACATGCTGGTAGGTGAATTGGATCTTGTCTAAATTGGACCTAGTATATGAATGTGAGTTAGGGGCTTTAGCTTGGAAGCCTCTTGAGGGTTAGAGACTATGTGAATGTACAATATATATGTAAGTGTTGTACCTGTAATAAATAAATCTGTCATAGCAGAGTGTTCTTTCTTACCTACCCGCACCACCATTGGTGGCTTCAGCTGTCAATCCCCAGATCCCAGCCTGTGATACCCAGCAATCAATGACAGGGGAGAGGTTTGTATGTAAACAACACAGGACTCTCTCCTGTCAGCTCCTGCACAACGCTTTGCATAGCAGAGCCATACAAAGCAGCATGCTTACACAGTAAAGCACACAGCAACAGTGAAACGCACACAGTTAACCCTTTGATCGCCCCAGATGTTAACCTCTTCCTGCCCAGTGTCATTAGTACAGTGTCAGTGCTTTATATTAGCACTGATCATTATACTAGTGTCACTGGGGATGTCAATGAAAGTTATGCAAGCCATACACATGTCGAATTCCGAACACATTTTCTTTAGAAAATTTAACATTTTGTGCGTTTTGTAATGCGATGGTGTCACCATTGATTTAGAAACTGAACCAACCAAGCCTTCAATTTCTCCTCATGTTGCTACAGAAAAGAATTTTCGTGGCCAAGAATTTTATTTTCTTTCTTGGTCACAGCTTTATATTTCTTGCACGATTCTCCCATGATTGATTCGAAATTTGTTTGTTTTTCAAAAAATTTCCAACATTCCCGATCACTCAGATTCAACGGTCTTCCGAACATCGGTCGCTTCTGTGACCCACTAATGGTGCGAAATTGGAAAGAAAATTCTTAGAAAAGATTTTTGAAAGAAAAATCTTTCGGAATTCGACCCATGTATGGCCGGCTTGTCAGTCCCCTCCCCCCCCGTGTCAGAATGCCCATCGCATTCCTGCTATAAGTCGCTGATCAGCGCCTAGTAGTACTAGTATAAAGACAACAAATAAATAAAAATCCCAGTATATATAGCACCATTTGTAGACGCTATAACTTTCACGTAAACCAATTAATTTACACGTATTTGGATTTTGAATTGTCAGTTAAAGTAATGCAGCTCCGAATCGCAAAAATGGCATGGTCAGGAAGGGGGGTAAATCCTCTGGAGGGCAAAGTGGTTAAAAATAGTGTGTTGGTGGACATGCTATTGTGGAATGCCATTTTAAAATGGCACTCTGTTCACTACTTGTGCATGCACACTATAGATGTAACGGCGCTGTCATCATTCGATCACAGGCAAAATGCACAGAGCCAACCAGAGTGGCTCTATGCCTTGTGATTACTATGAAAGCCAATTACAACAATCACAAATGTAAACACTACTACTGCTTATAATTCAGAGCCTCCCCCCTCCTCTCACAATGAAGGAGGGTAGAATGAATGAATGAATCAATCAATCAGTCAAAGCAGAGTTCCACCCAAAAGTGGAAGCTCTGCTTTCTGTCTCGTCCCCCACCTGCTGCCACATTTGGCACCTTTTTTGGGGGGAGCAGGTACCTGGTTTTGACAACTGATGTGGACGTTTGGCACCCACACAGCCCTCTGGTACACTTCCAAGGTCCCAGAGGACTGCAGCCCATTCATAAAGTGCAGTGTGCTTCGCGCATGCACAGTAGGAAACCAGCAGTGAGGAGGCTTCCCTGCCGGTTTCCCTTATTCAAGATGGCAGCGCCAGCCGATGTCAGGCGATTGAAGAATCGGCTCGGCTGAGGACACCGCTGGATACATGGACAGGTAAGTGCCCTACTATTAAAAGTCAGCAGTCACAGTATTTGTAGTTGTTTACTTTTAACTTTTTTTGGGGTGGAGGTGGCGGGGGAACTTTGAACAATGCCAGGTGTCATACGGTGTGGTTTTATATTCAAGTATAACAAGTTCATACACCTCACGACCTGGAAGGCACTGGTGATGAAACCTTCCCAGGGGGCAGCAGTGAGGCCAGGGATACATCACCAGTGCCTCAGGGAACCCAGAAAGTGAACTTACATCAAATGTAAGATCAATATTGAAAATCTTTTTTTTTTACTTATAACCACTTGCCCTCCAAAAGATTTACCCCTCTTCCTGACCAGGCCATTTTTTGCAATACAGCGTTGCGTCATTTCAACTGACAATTACGTGGTCATGCAACGCTGTACATAAATAAAATTTTTGTCCTTTTTCCCCACAAATAGAGCTTTCTTTTGGTGGTATTTGATCACCTCTGCAGTTTTTACTTTTTTTATAAACAAGAAATGACTGACAATTTAGAAAAAAAAATAGTATTTTCTTTTTACTATAAAACATATCCAAAAAAAAATGTATGTAATTTCTTTATAAATATAGGCCAAAATGTATTCTGCTACATATTTTTTGTAAAAAAATTCAAATAAACATATAATAATTAGTTTGCGCAAAAATTATAACGTCTACAAATTATGAGATATATAGTTTAATTTAAATTTAAAACATTTTTTTATACAAGTAATGGTGTCAAAAAGCGACTTATAGCGGGACTGCAACATTTTTACACTAACTGACACTTTGTGGGAACCAATGACACTAATACAGTAATCAGTGCTAAAAATATACACTATTACTGTACTAATGACATGGTTGGAAAGGGGTTAAAGTCTATGGTGATGAAAGGGTTAAGTGTGTGCCTATTGATTTGCTTGGTGTACACTATGTGGTGCTGAAACAAGAGGAAATGATGGATCGTGTTCCCAGCTCTGCAGGGACACGCGACCAGGGGCGGACTGACAAGTCATGGGGTCCCCGGGCAATAGGAAATCATAGGGCACCTGTGTCCTCGTCGACACTCAAACCACTCCCAAAAAAGCCTATGAAAGGTACCAGAGGCATCTCATGGGGCCCCTACTGACCCCGGGCCCTTGGGCACTGCCCCAAATGCCTTAATGGTCAGTCCACCCTGCACACAACTGATCACTTCCACCTTCCACAACAGAGCTCTGCCTATATCAGGGGCGGACTGACCATTTGGAAACTCGGGCACTGCCCGAGGGCCCGGGGTCAGTAGGGGCCCCCATGAGATGCCCCTAGCACCTTTTTCATAGGCTTTTTTGAGTTTGGGCAAGGACACAGGGGCCCCATGATCCCCTATTGCCCAGGGGGCCGCATGAGTTGTCAGTCCGCCCCTGGCCTATATAATCATAGGTACAGCTCCGTTCTTCCTCCTTGCCCAACGATCTGTGGGTGCCGGCGAACATCCATTTGCTGGGACTCGCAGATCGGCTTCTGCTGTGACAATTCACAGCAGAAGTGACCCACCAGCACGCGTGCGCCCCCATGAGACAGAAGTGCAAAATCACATATACATGTGTGATTTTGCACAGGAGAGTCGCCCTGTAGCAGTAAAACTGCTATAAGGCTGAGGTAAAGTGTATAATTAGAGGGGGTTTTAAAAAATGCACACAAAGGGGCTTAATGACTATTGTAGCGGGAAGGTCCACTTTAATTGTATGGGGTGAAAAAGCACCAAAATGGATATTTGGCATCTGACTACCTGTCAATGGAAGGATGAATTTAGGAAGGTAATGGAGTGTCTGCACTGTTATAGTCTGCTTTACAGCACAAGTACAGATTCTCTTTAACGTCAATACGTAACGCCGTCAGTATACAGCGAGCTCAACAGATGAAACATCTCACTTTGGACACATCCGCCTGACTCTAAGCCGTGGCTGACTTCAGAGGGGCACACCTAACCTTCTCACACGTCCCAGGAGACTGCTTGGAATTACGTATAGTATGGTACTTGGACGCTTCCCAAAGATTAGGTGTCTCTGGAAATTTTTTTTTTTCCATTTTTTTTGACTCTTCAAAAGTTCCAGCGTGTCATGGGAATAGACCCTACTCCTCCCTTTTCCCCTTGAAGGACACATATCAAAACAGCGGCGTAGCACATAGGACCCCTCAGCATACAAAGGTACACTACAAAAAAAAAAAAAAAAAAAGAACAGCCGCCTGGAAGCAGTATGAAGAGAAACTGAGAATTGTTAAGTGGAGACAGGAAACAATTGCTTGATTGTTGTATGGTGAAGGAATTGCAGATTACAGCGCCATCTAGAGGACATTGCAGGTCAGACACTTCTGTAGTTTTTATATTTGTTCTAGCAATTATGCTGCAAATGGTACATCCGAATTTCCAGCTTGGACCTGTACTTAGAACATGCTTAAAGGGCCACCAGACATAAGCCACAGGCTAGTTTATGTAAAAGAATTTTTAATAAGATCCATGGGTAAATATATTAGCTTCAATAGTCCATTAAAATTGGATTACAAAAAACAAAATGGGTATAACTGGCAGCAATATTATCACAGAGCTTCCTATTGAATGTCATAGAAGAATGCTGACAACGGCCATATTTGAAGTCCACATATCAGCTTCTTAACCTGTTGAGTACTGGCCTGTATATATCTTGACATTACTTTTTTTTTTTTTCCTCTCACAGGCAATTATTCCGTCATGCAACTCTGTACCAAAATACATTTTCATTTTTTTTTAGACAGGTAGAGATTTTTATTTTGGTGGTATTTAATAACTGCTGGACATTTTGTTTTACTATATAAAGGAAAAAAGACCAAAGATTTTGAAAAAAAAAATGAGTTCCCCTTACTCTCTTATAAAAACATACTAAATAACAATTCCAGGACAGTACAAACATCCAAAAATGACCTTTTGGAATCTAGACACCCAGAAGATGATCTGATTTTTGCCACAGTTTCCAGAAATGAAGAAACATGCTGGCGTCAGGGGTAGACTGACAGCTCATGGGGCCCCCGGGTAATAGGGGATCATGGGGCCCCTGTGTCCTTGCCCAAACTCAAAAAAGCCTATGAAAAAGGTACCAGGGGCATCTCATGGGGCCCCCTACTTACCCCGGGACCTCGGGCAGTGCCCGAGCGTCCAAAAATGGTCAGTCCACCCCTGGCTGGTGTTGAGGGAGTTAAAACATGCAGCTTAGAAATGGTGCATTAGGTACAGTGCATCATTAATTTACAGTTCGTCACCTAGATCATGGGTGTCAAACTGGCGGCCCTCCAGCTGTTGCGAAACTACAAGTCCCATCATGCCTCTGCCTTTTGGGAGTCATGCTTGTGATGGTCAATCTTGCAATGCCTCATGGGACTTGTAGTTTGGCAACACCTGGAGGGCCATCAGTTTGACACCCGTGACCTAGATTCTAAGCTCTGATGATCAGGGCCCTCTGTTTCCTCTTGTACCAAATTGTATTGTAACTGTAATGTCTACCTTCATTTTATAAAGCGCTGCACAAACTTTTCCTGTATAATAATAATAATTCACAGACAGGAGGGGAAGGCGTTAAAGAATATGTAAACCCAACATTTCATATTCCTGATATGTGCCAGCTGTACCATGGACTTGTATGAAAAAGTATTCTGTTCTCTTTGTATTGCTTCCTATGTGTGAAATCCCTGCTAGTCCTTCTGCTTTCCTATTATAAACTGACCACACTAGGCCTGAGAGCACAGCATGGTCAGTTTTCTAGCTGTGCTGAGAACTCAGCTTGCTCTCTTTCAATGAGCAGACTTGTCCTGGTTCGCTTCCCCCCTACACAGCCATTCACTGGGAAAGCCATCATACTTATGTTTCTCTTTCCGCAGCCCCCTGCTCTCAGCTGCTTAACCTGTTGATGCGGACAGCACGCAAATATGCGGCCTCTTGGCAGCTGGGCCTTGATGCCTATTGGCCACATATTTGCTTTCCAAGAGTACACAAACGTTTTGAGAGCAAACGCCCTGCATGCTCCTAGCACATTTATCGGCACCTCAGAAAGGTCCTGATCACTACTTGCGATCGGGACCTTTTCGATCATGTGACTGCTGTGCCAGACAATCACGGTGGTCACACGATCCAGAACCCTGCCCCACCTCCCGGCATCACGAACCCTTAAAGGGCCAGGAGGAACCGACGTCAAGGGATTAAGGAGTTTAGAGGCAATGTAATCACTCGTTAAACAGGGCAAAAAAGCTATTTAGGACTTTTTTTTATATGTATACACACATTTTTTACTTCCATTTCTATTGTAAACTGAATGGGTTTTTACAAGGTGAGGGTTTACATATATTTTAATGTACAGTTCACCACAGTGGAAGGGTGGAGATGAGGGGGTTAATGTGTGGGAAAAGGGAGGTAAAGGAGTTAATACACAGGTCAGAGATAGGATGGAGATAGTATATACAGCTCACACCCAGAGAAGAGGAAGGGTGGAGTGAAATGAATAAAAACAATCCCACAATCAAATTAATATATCCACCTTCAATCTGCTACCACCTGCAATCCCTTGATTGATTGATTCATTCATTCATTCTACCCTCCTTCATTGGAGAGGAGGGGAGGCTCTGAATTATAAGCAGTAGTAGTGTTTACATTTGTGATTGTTGTAATTGGCTGTCATAGTAATCACAAGGCATAGAGCCACTCTGGTTGGCTCTGTGCATTTTGCCTGTGATCGAATGATGACAGCGCCGTTACATCTATAGTGTACATGCACAAGTAGTGAGCAGAGTGCCATTTTAAAATGGCATTCCACAATAGCATGTCCACCAACACACTATTTTTAACCACTTTGCCCTCCAGAGGATTTACCCCCCTTCCTGACCAGGCCATTTTTTGTGATACGGCGCTGCGTTACTTTAATTGACAATTGCACAGTCATGCAACAATGTATATAAATTAAATGTATTCCCTTTTTTACCCACAAACAGAGCTTTCTTTCTGTAGTATTTGATTGCCTCTGTGTTTTTTATTTTTTGTGCTATAAACAAAAAAGTCCGTCAAATTTGAAAAAAAGCAATATTTTGGGCTTTTTGCTATAAAACATATCCAATAAAAAATGTAAAAAATCTAATTTCTTCATAAATTTAGGCCAAAATGTATTCTGATACATGTCTTTGCTAAAAAAATTCTCAATACGTGTAAATTAATTGGTTTACGTGAATGTTATAGCATCTACAAATGGCGGTATAGATACTGGAATTTTTTTTTTTATATATATTAGTAATGGTGGCGATCAGCGACTTATAGCGGGACTGTGGCGGGAATTCTGACACGGGGGGGGAATTGACTAACTGCCACTGACATCCCCAGTGCAAGGGCGGCCTATCAACTCAGGGGGCCCCCCCCCAATTGCAACTCATGGGGCCCCCGGGCAATAGGGGATCATGGGGCCCCTGTGTCCTTGCCCAAACTCAAAAAAGCCTATGAAAAAGGTACCAGGGGCATCTCATGGGGCCCCCTACTGACCCTGGGCCCTTGGGCAGTGCCCGACTTTCCAAATGGTCAGTCCGCCCCTGCCCCAGTGACACTAATATAGTGATCAGTGCTAATAAAAAGCACAGACACTGTACTAATTACACTGGGCAGGAAAGGGTTAATTTCTGGGGTGAGCAAAAGGTTAACTGTGCGTGTTTTACATGATGTGCTGTGTGCTGTTTTACTATGGAGACATGCTACTTTGTATTTGTCTGCTGTGCAGAGAAACACAAAGCAGCATGTCCATGCTGACAGGAGAGAGACCTGTGTTGTTTACACAAATATGTCCGCCCTGTCAGCTTTCCCCCCTAATGAAGCCACGTGACCTGGTGGCGCAACGCGTAGGGGAGGGGCTTTAATGTCACGACATTGGACAGACAGTGAGAGGTATCAGCTGGTTATACATGTCAGAACCACTACCGGCATTTGGAGCATTTGTTTTTTGCAATAAGCGTATTTATACATTTTACATGTGAGCGAAATATATCTCATTACAAATAAATGCTTTTTATAAGGATAAAGCACTATGTTCTGGTTATTTTTTTTGGCATTTCAACTGACGTAGGAGGATAATTAGAGGAGTGAAGGGGATCTAGATGTGCTGGATACCAATCCCATCTTTACATAACCCAATAAAGGGAAAAAAGCTCTCTGTGACCTTACTTAATGGTTCGGTCATATATATAAGGTGAGAGCACAACTGGTGGAGGCGCACAATTGTTGGTTTGGTATTAAACAACAGAGATTAACTGAGAGCACTTGATTTGTCATACTACAGGGATTGCAGAGAATCATGGATTTGATACGGACACTTGGATATATTTGTGTTGGAAGATTTTTGTATACTTTTATATATAAATATAAAAGTATTTTCCAGCGTATAAGACGACTTTTTACCCCTTGAAAATCTTCAAAAGTCGGGGGTCGTCTTATACGCCGGTAACGGCATGCTGACAAACTTTTAGAGGGGCGGCGCGGTGCCGCCACTGCCCCCCCTTCCAACAGAAGGGACCCTAAGTACAGGGGTGGGCAGGGGCTGCTGTCTCTTACCTGGCTCCGGTCCCACGACGATCCGGTCCAGGAAGCGCGGCTGCTCTTTCCTTCGGTTTTGGCGTCCACTGGATGTTCGCACGGCTGCTCGGCTCCGCCTCCTCACCGGTGATTGGCTGCCAGAACTGTAGCTCAGGAAAGGCACACAGGCAGCCAATCACCGGCGAGGAGGCGGAGCTGAGCGGCCCCCCGCGAAAATCAAGTGGAGATGCAGGTAAGTGTGCCGTGCTTAGGTGCTGCTGCAACCACATATGCTGGCTGCAGCAGCACCGTACTGGAACAGGGGTCAGCAAGTGTCAGTGGGAGGAATAGTGCCCCATCGTTGGTGTCACTGAAAACCAAGTACCAATGATGGGGCATTATTCCTCCCACTGACACCAACGATGGGACACTTTGCCTCCCCCCCACTGACACCAACGATGGGGCACTTTTCCTCCCCCCCACTGACACCAACGATGGGGCACTATTCCACCCCCCACTGACACCAATGATGGGGCACTATTCCACCCCCCACTGACGCCAATGATGGGATTACTATTCCCCCCCCCCCCCACTGACACCAACGATGGGGCACTATTCCTCCCCCCCCCCCACTGACACCAATGATGGGATACTATTCCTCCCACTGACACCAAAGATGGGGCACTATTCCACTGACACCAATGATGGGGTGCTATTCCCCCCAATGATATTAATGATTGGGGCACTATTCCTGCCACTGATACCAATGATGGGGCACTATTCCTGCCACTGATACCAATGATGGGGCACTTTTCCTTCCACTGACACCAATGATGGGGCACTATTCCTGCCACTGATACTAATGATGGGGCACTATTCCTCCCACTGACACCAATGATGGGGCACGATTCTTCCCACTGGTGTGCACTGGAAGAGGGGTAGTCTTATACGGCGAGTATAGCCCAAACACTACATTTTAAACAGGAAAAGTAGGGGGTCGTCTTATATGCCCAGTCGTCTTATACGCCGGAAAATACGGTATATATATTTATAGTTTGTTGTAGATTTAAGTGGAGCGCGGTATAGTTTTTTAACTTTTTCCCCAATGATCGCCGAATGCCAACCAGAAATCGCCGGCTGGGACCTGGTGATTGAAATCCCTAGCTGCTAATAGGGGAATGGGTAGGGCAGCACATGCGCTCCCTACTCAGGAATGCAAATCACGTATATATACATAGCAGTGCTTCTAATATACGGCAGCGGGCAAGCGGTTAAACACATGACGGTAGTCAGTGGCTAAAGAAACAGGCTCCAGAACTATAATGCAGACACCAAGCTGGACAGCTTCCTTTCACTTTTTTATGTTCCTATGGACTGATATTCCTGATAGGTGGCCTTACTGGCTGAAAATCCAGAAGGGGCACAGCACCCTCGATTAAATAAGCAACTAAAGTATCTAACAAACTGACACATGATAAAAAACAACTGTTAATAGAGGCAAGATGTAGTTGTGTTCCTTGGGGGCCTTATAAGGGGCAAAGGAGCGCCTAGATATTTGGTCTTATAGGGTACCCTCTGAGTGTAGCCAAATACTGGCTTCTCTCTGACCAACACCTGTGTGAGCTGTGAGCAGTGTTTTCTGAGGAACAGATGTTATATTTCTTTTAATGAATTGCGGTCATCTTGCTGCACAGACCTGATTCATCATAGGCCCATTTTCTCTGCTTTTACATACATAATATGCCCAACAAGGACCAGCAACATACTGGAACATCACAGGACTTTGAGTGGTTATAGCTGCAGGCATCATCCTGGTATGGTTTTTTTTCAGCTGGCAGTTGGCTTTCATGTAAAAGCAATCCTAGTAGCTAATTAGCTGCTGGATTGCTTTTACAAATAGCGGGAAGGGACACTCCTCCCACCACCTTCCATGGCTTAGACTTTCCCATCCCACCGGGGAACACGAGAATGCAGCCAGCCATGAATGACTCCGATCACCTCTATGACCTAACAAAACCAGAAGCATCAAGCATTTCATCATTTCGGTTTCGCTGGATATAAACAGTGCAATTTTTCATTTGGAAAACCATCTGATTACACTGATCTTGGTGTGATCAGATGCGTTAAGGGCAGAGGAGAGATAAAAAGTCTAATAGACCCCAGATTTTGCAGAAAAAAGTAACTGTCACTGCCTATTGCTATCACAGGGGATATTTACATTTCCTGTGATAACAATAAAAGTTATAAAAGAAAAAAAATGAAAGGGACAGTGTAAAAATAAAAAAAAGCAAAATAAATAATTTGAAAAATAATCACCCCCACGCCTCCAATACCCCCCCCCCCCCCCCCCCCCGTGCTCCCCTGCAAAAGGGAACGCAAGCGTTGGTGCTGTGTTGGTAGTGGTAACCTGTAAAGGCTTTTAAATCGTTTCCTATGGATATGAAAAATGTAAGTAGTTTGTCGTTGTTGCACAGGCGTGCACAAATTTAAAGCATGTCATGTTTGGTATCTATTTACTTGGCATAGCATCATCTTTTATAATATATCAAACAATCCAATGATATATTCTGGTTTTGTGCATTATAAATTTCTCATTTATTATTTTTTCCAAAACATTTGCGTTTGAAAAATCACTGTGCAAATACTGTGTAGCATGAAAAATTGCAATACCCCGTTTTATTCTCTAGGGCCTCTGCTTTAAAAAAATATATATATAAATAAAAATGTTTGGGGATTCAAAGTAATTTTGTAGCAAAAAAAATTTTTTTTTTTTCATGTAAACAAAAAGTGTCAGAAAAGGCTTAGCCTTCAAGTGGGTGATGTGTGGCATAAGCTTTAATGCTGGCCCTGAAATGCCAGGATAGTAGCCAAACCAGGGTAGTAGTAAATCATGGTAAATATATCTGAAAATCGATCAATCCTGATGTACTGATGGCCTATCTCATTTCTTGAGGCCCGAAACCGCCAGTACAAATACCCTCCAAATTACCCCTTTTTGGAAAGTAGACACTCCAAGGTATTTGATAAGGGGCATGGTGAGTATTTTGCAAATCTCATTTGTTGCCACAAGTTTTTTGAAAAATGAAGAAAGAGAACAAAAATGTGTTTTTTCTTTTCTTTTTTTTTTTCTTTTTCAAAACCCTTTGACAAAAAATTATATCTGAAAAATACTCACCATGCCTCTTATCAAATTCCTTGGGATGTCTACCTTCCAAAAAGGGGTCATTTTTTTTGGGGGGGGGGTTGTATTATCCTGGCATTTTAGGGCCTCCAAAGCTGTGACAGGTAGTGAGGAAACATGAGGAAATACAGCATGACCTTTGAAAGAAGGTGGTCCTTGGTCATTGGATTTTGGGGCTAGGCTGTCAAAAAGTCTCATATGTGGTATCCCCATACTCAGGAGAAGTAGCAATATGTGTTCTTCCACACCTACTCATGGCATGTGTGAGCAAAATACCATTTAAGTGACAACTTTGTGAAAAAAAAAATTCTGCAATTTTCCAAACATTTGTGGCGAAAAATAAAATCTTTCATGGACTCAACATACCTCCCAGCAAATTCCTTGGGGTGTCTACTTTCCAAAAAGGGTCATTTGTGGGGTTTTTTACTGACCTGGAAGTGCTTTCACACAAACCAATTAATATACATGTATTGGGATTTATTTGTTTGCCAAAGACATGTAGCAGAATACATTTTGTCCTAAATTTGTGACTAAATTTGAGTTTATTGGATATTTTTTATAACAAAAAGTCGAAAATATCATTTTTTAAATTTTCGGTCTTTTATCCTTTAGATCACAAAAAATACCACCAAAAGAAAGCTCTATTTGTGTGAAAAAAAACATACATTATGTTTTGGTACAACGTTGCATGACCATGCAATTACCAGGTGAAATAGTGCAGTGCCAAATAGGAAAAAATGGCCTGGTTATGAAGGGGGGGGACAATCTTCCGGGGCTCAAGTGTTTAAAGCTACAGCCAGCATGCCACTAAGAGTCACAAAGTGGAGTTGTTTGAAAGGCCTCACGGAAGCTGCTTAAAGCTACTGAAATGGTTTGTAAACTAGCTGAATGTGACTAAGTTCAGATTATATTGTCATAGTTGAGTTATCAGAAATGTCCTTGTGTATGGGGCAGTATATTGAATAACAGGGTTTTTTTTTAGTAAAGAGTAGATGGTAGCAATAGCTTATATAAGATTCACTTTAAAGGGGGGGATTGTTTCTAAAGGGGCAATGTAAACATTATACCACCCCTGCTCCCCTTTAGAGTATATTGGGACCCCCAAGCTCAAGCTTTCTGGTATTTGGCCCTGTTCTTTCCTGGCTAGGTGCTATAAGCAGCCCATAGATTATGTGATTTTCTTTCCATCCACCAGCGGTGGAAGGATAGAAAATCGCTCGATTCCCCCATCGACACACTATGTTAGCACTATATAAACTTATAACCTAATTGCAGGATCTATACCATCCTTTTTCAACCTTTTAAACATGGTGGAACCCTTGAAATATTTTTTTGACTTCAGGGTACCCCTACTAATAATTATTATGTTTACAGCTCACAATACATTAGTGTGATGAATAAATAAAACAGAAAAGATACGAGCGCTGGATATACAACTCAAGAGCGGCTAGCATGAAAGGCAAACACCAGGAGCCTCAAAATAAAATATATCGAACAGCCATGCAGCGCTAACTAGGTATATTGATACATGCAAATGATCATACGGTGCAAGTGATAACCGGTAAAGTGAACACCACTTAATACTAAGATAGATGGAAATTAGCTAAAAAAGTCCAGTCCAGGAATAATAATAATAATGGTGAATAAAATCTGCAACAAGAGTGTTCTTGCGGTGCATAATATATAGAATTTCAGGACAAAAAGGTGACATCATAGGGAGGTGCCTTATACCCTGCCTTACACCCTGTGACGTCACACCGCATTGGCCCTTGTGGACGGCTGGCGGCCATTTGTGGAATTCCCTGTTACCAGCTGCTCACTACACATACTCCCCCCGGTGGCGAGACGACTACATGCCTTCTGATATCTGGTGTTCCTGAGGTTGTGATGTTTGCCCAGCGGATGCAGGCCAGATGACTACTCTGTGATCCAGTTCCAGTTTTCAATAGCCGGATGACCAGGAGTTGGTTAAACACTCAAATGCGCATTATCATTGCGCTTTCAGGTTAGTGCAATCTACACTCATTTCTGCGGGAGCAATATGGTCACAGAACTCACCTATGATGTCACCTTTTTGTCCTGAAATTCTATATATTATGCACCGCAAGAACACTCTTGTTGCAGATTTTATTCACCATTATTATTATTATTCCTGGACTGGACTTTTTTAGCTAATTTCCATCTATCTTAGTATTAAGTGGTGTTCACTTTACCGGTTATCACGTGCACCGTATGATCATTTGCATGTATCAATATACCTAGTTAGCGCTGCATGGCTGTTCGATATACATTAGTGTGATGGTCAATGTGAAGCAGGCCATAGATTATGCCTGAAAATTGTTTGAGAATAGCCCTGATTGGGTTGATGGGTAATCCCTCCCGCAGTGCTATCATGTTCTA